TTCGGGGATGGATATATCTCGTCTAGACAAGACGCGATATATCAGTCCCCAATAGATGGATTACTACCTGCTGATTTGGCGGGTAGTCTGGACGTACCCGCTGAACAAAGATGCTTTCCAGACTTGGAGACTTAGCATGCAATTTGTGACAATCCAATTTCTAACATTTTAAGAGAGAAACAACACAGCCCCCAACACATATGCACATGGTGGTTTGGGTTTGTTTGTTTTAAATAAGGCAATTTAAATAAAATAAAACTCAGAAAACAGCAAAACCCCACATAACACTAAACACCAGAAAATCTAAGTACACCTCTACCCCGATATCACACGGGTTCGCATATAGCGTGGTAACCCCGGGGCTCCGGCAGTGGGGCTCGGGCGGCAATTTAAAGGGCCCGGGGCTCCGGCTGCTGCAGGGAGCCCTGGGCCCTATAAATCACCGCTGGAGCCCTGCCGCTGCTATCCCGGAGCTGCGGCAGCGGGGCTCAGCCGGCGATTTAAAGGGCCCGGGCTCCCCGCAGCAGCCGGAGTCCGGGGCTTTTTAAATCACCACTGGAGCCCTGCCGCCGCTACCCCAATATAACGGGGTTTCACCTATAACGCGGTAGGGATTTTTGGCTCCCGAGGACCATGTTATGTCGGGGTAGAGGTGTATAGAACATTCCATGTTGTATCCCAGAAAGTGTTAAGTAGCATTATGGTGTGATTCTGAAGGAGTAAATCTACAGAATGCACGTGAAAGTTGTGATGTAGACAGAACTCCTGTAATGTTTCCACAAAAAAGCCTTATCTTGCTCTTGGTGAAGTCAATAGGTTTTTTGGCACTGACTTCAATGGGAGCCCGGTCCTCTCTTGCTTACCTCCATGGGATAAATAGAGGTTTGTGCTGTTGCCCCAGCCAAAGAACCAGATACAAATCTTTCAACGGTCCCTATCTTTCCATCTTCATTAGCAAATATCTTCTTATACTGTGTAGGTAAAATACATAAAGACAAATATATCACACATCTTTCTGAGGCAGGTAGAATCCACCAGCAGAAGCAGAAATATGACAAGAGGTTTTCCCACGAAGTTTGCATTATAGATGTCCAATTAACACAACTTAAAAATATTTACATTCTAATTCTCTGTGTAATGATTTATAAAAACATAGATCTTCCAGCCTGTGAAAGTCCTTTACATTTGGTCCCACTGAGTGGGATCAATTCTGCCCATACTATAATGGCACGGGAGCAACTCTATAGTTAAGGTTGCCCCAAGACATCGGTTTAAAGATCAACCTTTCTAAATCCTCTAAAATTGACTTGGTTAGTCTTTGTAATTTGGTATGCCTCAGGGGGGTACAGGGTAGGATTAGTGACCCAAATTTAGAATCATTTGTGCCAGGGGTCCCGGACATATAAGTCTGAGAAAAAATAGTCTTTTAAAAAAAAAGTTGCAGGGGGGAGGGGAATCAAGCTATTGATGTGATGAGGGTCAAAATGGTCTAGATCTCTCAAACTTTATCCAAGGTAGTGCTTTGCACACACATAATCTCTGAGGGACCCAAACTGAGAATGGTGTTTAAGAAAATGTACAGTAACTCCTTACTTAACTTTGTAGTTATGTTCCTGAAAAATGTGACTTGAAGTGAAACCAATTTCCCCATAAGAACTAATGTAAATAGGGGTGTTATGTTCCAGGGAAAAAGATTTTCACCAGACAAAAGTGTGTGTACACACACACACAGAGTATAAGTTTTAAACAAACAATTTAATACTGGTACACAGCGATGATGATTGTGAAGCTTGGTTGAGGTGGTGAAGTCAGAGGGTGGGATATTTCCCAGGGAATGCCTTACTGCTAAATGATGAATTAACAATCGGCTGAGGGTTAACCCATTGTTGTTAATGTAGCCTCATACTCTACAAGGCAGCACGAATGGAGGGAGGGGAGACAGCATGGCAGAAAGAGACAGAGACACACAGCATGTGTGAGAGAGAGAGATGCACATTGCCCCTTTAAGTATGCTGACCCCACTTTAAGTA